AAGTTGGGTGAGGATCGCATCGCTGAGGAGGGGGCCAGGGAAAATCATCGTGTGGTCGTACTCGCGGCTGCCGTCTTTTTTACAATCATCATTTCTATCGACGAGCAAAAGAGACCAGATTTCTGCAGCTAGCGACCATTCGGGAGCAGCTCGTCGGCGTTTGCAATGCTTCCGTAGCTGGCGTTTGATCGCATCGAAGTCATACTGGGCGTGTCTCCACTGATGTGCAGAAGGGCAGAAACGCTCGTCGTTCGACGCAGCGGTGTCGATGAAGTGCTCGATATCAATCGGTGCCGCCTCCATTCCTCCTTCCGCGCCAGGAAGTGCCATATCTCCAGTCCATGTTTGAACAGAGGGGCGCGCGTCGGGGAGATCGAAGTAGCACCGTTTGCCAGGGCCCTTTCCATTGCCCGCAAGGCGTCGTCACGCTCGCCAGACCTCTGCTTCCAGTCCTGCCTCATCGGCTTGTTGTAGTTTGGTATGTATATATATACATGTACATATACATGCAGATGCATTCGCATGTGTATTTGTATTTGTTCATGTACATGTATATGTATACGTACATGTATATGTATATGTATAGGTATATGTACATGTATATGTATATATATTTATGTATATGTTTACGCATATGTATATGTACATGCATGCGTATATTTGTTTTGTATATGTTTATGTCTATGCATAGTTATATCTATATCCTTATTCACATGTACATATACATACATACATATGTATATGCATAGGTGTATGCATGTGTAGTTGTATATGCATATTCGTATTTATATGTATATACGCTTATGCATTTGCATATATGTCTGTACATGTGTACGCATATGTGTATGAAGATTATATGTGTGTATATGTATACGTACATGCACATGTATAGGTGTATGCATATGTAGGTGTCCACGCATATACGTGTATTTGTGTATCTGTGTTTATGTAAAGGTTTATGTATACTTATATGTACATATAACTGTATATGTTTATGCATATGTAGTGTACATGTACATGTATATGTCTATGTCTATTTCTATGTATATGTCTATGTATTCGTATGTATACGTATGTGTATGTGCATGTGTATATGTACTTGTGTATATGTGTATGTAGTTGCATACGTATATGCATATATATTTGTATATGTGTATGTGCATATGTATACGTATACATATATATATATATACACACCTACACGTATTTGTACATGTATATGTACATGTAAATGTGTATGTGCATGCATATGTCTATGTATAAATATCTTAAGGCTGCCGCCTCTGCCGCCGACCCCATGGAAGCATATCGATCATGGGTTCTACACAACGAATTGCTCGTGAGACATCGAGGGGCTCGGTGGAGATGTTGGTGAGTTCGGGGCATGGCACAGAAGCGTCGGCGAGCTGGGATCCTCAAGACTCAAGAAGGGAGCTCTCCTGGGGGGAGTTCTCCCAGGGAGAGGGTGCGGGGGGGGTCGCGCCGAGTGCTTGGGGCCATACGTTGCTTGGTGCGTGTCGCTTTTGGGTCCCTTCGGGGGCCGCCCTGGAGTGCTACAGATATGCCGGGCTGACTTCAACGTTCTCTTTCGGGCATTGGATGCTCTGGCCTCTTTGGGCAATTCTGGGAGTTTCTTTTCCTCCTGAGCTTCTTTGGCCGTCTGGGGGTCGCCTTGGGCGTCTTGGGCCCATCGTTGGGCGACTTAGGGCCCTCTTGGACCGTCTCGGGGGCTTCTTCTGTTGTGTGGTTCTCGGTGTCTTCATGACGCGGTCGGGCTGTCATTTGGGTGCTTCGCGTATCTCGTCCAATCTATTCAGAAACGATGTCGAGGAAAGGAGGTGACGGGTGAAGAACGGGAGAGACACACATAATGAAACATTCTTTGGGGTCTTGTTGGGGCCACTATATGGAGCTCTCTTGGGGCTCCTCGGGAGCCCTGGGGTGTGTCTCCTGGGGTCTCCTGGGCCGTTTTGGGGGTCTCGTGGGCCCTTCTTGGCCTGTTTTGGGGCTTTCTATGCCCCCGTTGCTGACATGACTTGCGGGTCGTCGGCGTAGGCCATGGGGGGTGAAGCTGCAGCGCGGGTATGGGAAATGCACTGTTTACAAGGGCGCTTTCGGGAAGACGGAATTCAGCAGCTGGTTGGCCAAGCGGACGACGAAAAAGTCGGATGGGAAGCAGAGGTGCAATGAGTGCTTCGATGATGAAGAGCGCAAAAGGAAAGAAGTTGCCGAGCGAACCTGGGAGTGCGTGGCGAAAACACATAAGTCCACGTAGATTTGCTGCGTCGGGGCTCTGGTCGGTTCCAGGCGAGATGACGTGGGGTTGGAAGTCCGAAGGACAGAGCTTCCTCGAGGTGGGGGTGCGGTCGCGAAAAGGGTTCCGGGAGAGAGGTGATGTGTTAGGGAGTCTGGAGGAGAGAGCTCCCGTGGGGTGAGAGGTGCCGCGGCGAGGAGGAGAGCGAGGATGAGGACCCAAGAACAGATCTAGCGTGGGTTGGACGGTTCCCAGGTAGGGGGGGGTCCAGGAGGGGGGCGTTGGTAGGTTCCAGGCGAGACGTTGCGGGTTGGGGGGTCCCGAGAACAGAGCTGCCGTGGGTGAGGATGCAGGTGCGAGGTGGGGGGCCAGGAGGGGGGTATCGGTAGGTTCCAGGCGAGAAATTGTCGAGTGTAGGGTCCCGAGAACAGAGTTCCAGAGGCCTGGGGGCGCCGGGGCGCGATGGGGGGCCAGGTGTGGGGCAGCGGTAGGTTTCAGGCGAGAATTTGTCGAGTGCGGGGTCCCAAGAAGAGACTTCCAGAAGCCTGGGGATGCCGGGGCGCGGTGGGGGGCCAGGTGGGGGGTATCGGTAGGTTTCAGGCCAGCAATCGTCGATCTTTTGTCGTCCCTTCGTCCTAACTTGTCGATTTTTTCTCGCCCCCTTGACGGCTTCGTGCAAAATGCCAGTCATGTGAAGCAGTGCGGAGCGGAATGCCTTGAGTTTCCGCGCCCGTCGTTGTTGAGGTTGTCTGTCATCATTGCTCGAACCACCTGGAGGGGCCGCCGCTTAGTGGGCGGATGAGGGTGTGGCCATTGCAGAGCAGGTGTTCGCCCGCGCGCCCTGACCAGCCCCACCCAGTCTGCGCATCGACGTTTTGGCTCCAGTGTGAGAAAAAACGGCGTGCAGCGCGCCCCACAGACGCCGACGAGGGGTGCGCCCGAGGTAGCCCCACGGGGCACCCGATGGCCCAAGAGGCCTCCGAGAGAGTCCCAAGACGGCCCACGAGGGCTCCGAGACGGCTCAAGAGAACCT